CTGAGTTATCTCAGTGGTGGCAGCCCTGACTCCAAGTCTGTGCAGATGCAGCAAAACCTGGATCATATCCTCAGTGCTGCCCAAGGACAGTAAATGCTTCACTCTTTGTTGGCTTGAGTGAGTCCTCTGCAAACCTGAATGAGCCTCCTGGCACTGGAGGAGGGTGGGGAGGCACTGGCTGACCTGGGGCTCCTGCAGCCCCACTCTGGCCTGGTCCAAACCCAGAAGGGCTTTTGCCTTCCTTCTTGAACCTCTCCCAAAAAACATAAATGCAGGAGAGTATTTAACAGGCGTTGACACAAAACAAATTTGTAATAGATTTTTCTGGACAAAGGAGGAAACTCTTCCCTCTGCCAGGAATCCAGACCTTATCTTTTGCAGCACACACTATACAGGGTACATCTTCCAATAGGTCTCGCAGGGAAGTTGCATCTTCCATAAGTGCAGTATCCCCCTCGCCGTCTGCATCCAGCTGCTTTTCAGGTTTCCATGGGGAAAGATACACATAGAACAAATAAGGCAATAACATGAGAGAGCTGTGTTTGGTTGAAAAAGGCTGATATACCCTGTGCATTTCAGGCCAATAGATGGGCTCATCTCCAGCCTCCCCACAGCAAAGATCAACCACAGTGCAAAAGATCATCCAGAGACACCAAAACAGGAACAGCTGGGTGCAAGGTTGGAGCATGAAACACAACCCCCTTCCTGACCCACAGTAGAAGCCAGGCTTCTATTTCCAGGGGTTCCTTCCACCCCTTGTCTGTCTTCACTCAGACAATCACTGGAGACCCACCTTTCTCCTTAATCTCCCCTACCCTTCACATCACTCCAACTGATGTGGTCACTTCCTGGGACCCAGTGATGAGGGTTTATATCCCCTCCCATCTCCCCATTTGCCCTCTCACCTGAAGCACCCTGGACCAGCAGGAGGAGCAAGGGGAAGAGCAGGTACAGGATCTTCATGGCTGATCCACCTCTCCTGGCTCTTCACAGGGCTGCAGAGGGAACACCAAGGCAATGAGGACATGGAGGGCCCCAGGGGGTGCAGAAGCCTGGGCACTGGGGTTCCCCAAACTGCAGAGGGGCTGCCTCCAACCACAGCACATGATCTTTCCTCTACCTTTCTCTTAAGCACAATTGTTATGTTAGTGCCGCTTTGCAAACCTTGGGAGTATTTCCTCATGTCTCAGTCTCTGGGAAATCCGTTACCAAAGCTGATTCTTTTCCAGGAAACCCCACAGTTACCTACCTGATGAAGGTCTTGGTGTCCAGGCAACAACAAACCCGAGAGGAATCACTTGAGTCTAGATGACCTTGGGTCCAAGGAGCACTTTTTTGGCCAAAATGCTCTGATTTTATATGATTGCAGATTGCAGGAACATTCCCTTATTCTTGCTGACACATCTCCCCTGGGCCAATCAGAAAGCCACCATCTGTGTGGGGGTGCTGGGGCTTCCCCTCGTCCCTTCCTGATGCAGTTGCTGAGGCTGAGGGGCCTCCTGGGGCTGTTGCAATGTCACCATTATCCTCCTGCAACACGTCTTGTGACACCCCCTGCACAGCAGCACACAGGTTGTGGTGGCCTGACATGACCTGCCAGGGATGGGCAGAGCAAGCTGGTTGATGCAGACTTCAGTAGAAATCAGTTCTAACCATTCTTTACTGTGTGAGGCCCTGGCACAGGTTGCCCAGAGAAGCTGCGGCTGCCCCATCCCTGGAAGTGTTCAAGGCCACGTTGGTCAGGGCTTGGAGCGACCTGAGATAGTGGAAGATATCCCTGTCCTTGGCAGAGTGTGGGATAAGATGATCTTTAAGGTCCCTTCCTCCTCAAATCATCCTGTGATAAAAAGATAAAATATTTGTCTCTTCCTTTCCTGTCATTTTACTCAGTGAGCTGGTGCTGTGTGACGTGCAGAAACATGCAAAATATTTTGGTTTTCTTCTCTTTTAACAGCTTCATCCTTGCCAAGGTGAGTTGCGTTTGACATGCTGGGAAGTGTCAAGCTCAAGGTTGTCTTTCTCATGCATACTCAGATCAACAGCAGCGGACAAAAGAAAAGCAATCAGGTGAGACCACCCCTCACCTCACCCTGTCTGAATGCACTGCTCCTAAAACTGCCATTCTGGGTATAAAAACTGCAAATGTGATTCAACAGAAGCAAAACTCCGTGTAAAGGTGTGCAAACTAAGGGAGATTAGTGAAGGAAGGTGAATAGGGCCTTAGTAGGCCTTGGAGATGTGGACTTGATCAAGAGAATTTGTGGATTTATAGGAAATTTGTGATGTTTCAGAAAGGTAAAGATCAAGGTGGATCATGAAAAAGCAGGTGATAGGATAGAAAGAAGCAAGGCATCCCTTGTGGCATGTCTTGTGGCCCAGCTCAAGTAAGCATGGCCATGCCCTATGTCTGATCACCATAATCTGTCCTGTATTCCAAGTAAACTTTAATTCTAACCATTTTATGTACAAACAATCTGTCTCTGGTATGTGTCCATGGCTGTGCAGTCCTCTAGCAAGCTTCAAACCAGACCACTGGGTATGGGAGAGAACACCAGGAGTGTTGGTCCATTGCCCAGAGATACCAAAGTTCTGGGAGTTGAATCCTGGAGAAAACAAAGGGGCTTGAGGTTGGATGCATCAGGGACACAGGGTCTGATGCCATCTATCAGAGACACACATAGAATCATGGAATAGTTTGGGTTGGAAAGGACCTTTAAGATCATCTCATTCCAACCCCCTGCCGTGGGCAGGGACACCTTCCACCAAACCAGGTTGCTCAAAGCTTCTTCAACCCGGCCTTGATGCATGATGGGGATATTCCCTGAGCATCAATCCACAGAAGTAGGATTGGGCATCCATTGTTAAGTCTTTGTGGATGTAAAAAGTCCTGGGAACTTTGGTACCAGGCTCAGGATCAGTCCAGGACCAGCAGAGCCAAGGACACTTCATAGTGTGGAGAGGTCTTCTCGTCCACCCTGCAGGGAGACCATGACTGGGGATCTTGTGCTGGACCCCACCAGAGAGGCAGCTCGGCCCTGCTGATCCAGACCTTGATGTGTACCCACAGCTGACATCCCGGCCTGGCTTTGGCCCATCCCCATGGAGATGCCCAAAGTCTCAGGCAGAGGCTGCTCCCACGCCCTGTCTGCCCTGTTCCCTGGTGGGAGGCAGTGGGATGCCTCCTGCCCCACAGCCCCCATGGTGACTGACCCATGGCAGTGCCTACACTCCCATGGCACCCCTGAGCTGAGCATCGTGGATCTGCTCCAAGGATCATCCACAATGCCGACCCACCTGAGCTCCTAACTGAGCCTCCCAAGCCTATAACCAGGTCTGAACCCCCCCCAGCACTGACCCCTAACTCAATCCCAAGCTCCTAAGAAGCCCCATGGCACAGCCATCAATCCCCATTTCCTCTGGAGCAGAATGGCTTCCCCCACCCCCAGCTACCCCTGGACCCCACAATACCCCCGTGGTGCCACACACCCAGGCCCCACAGCTGAGGATGGACCCAAATGTGTGTGCCCAGTGGAACAGCCCCACGAGGACTCCTGACCAGGTTTGGGAGGCAGGGGACAACCAGTAGGCCACCCACTGAAATTAGGGGGGTCATAGCAACCAATCGATCCCTGAACCCAAATGCAGGGGTGCCCTTGCTGAGCGGGAAGGCTGGTGCTGGGCTCCCTGTGGGTGTCACGTGCACCCCCACCCCCACCCCCTCCATGGGTGGAATGCTGGTGTGGTTGGGCCAGCTTGGAGAGATGGTGGATGGGGAGGGGGGGTGTTTGTGAGTCCATGTCTATCAGGAATTCACCCCATCTGCTCTGCCCTTCCCTGCAGCCAGAGGAAAGAGATGCACACCGAGGACACACACAAATCTTGGCAGCGGGAATGCAAACCACCACCTTGTATTGGGGACACTGGGTTAAAGGGATTCCCATGGGATCATGGTCTGGCTGTCCAGGGCTGTCGCTGCTCCCGGCGGTGCTCAGTGTCTCCACGCAGCATCATCCTGAACACGCAGAGAGGACAAGGGCTGGTCTCAGAGACTGGCACCAGGGATCCAGGAGCCTCTCAGGGATACCATCGCCTGCAGGAGGAAAGGTCTGGCAGTGCCTGTCCCAGCCAAGGCAGCCGTGAGGGCTCAGGGATGTCCCCATGCCCTTGGGCTGCATATTCCCCCCACTCTTTCTCTAACAGCCTCACCTCTAACCCCCCAGAGCCCTCTGAGCTACCCTGAACTTACATCCGACAGCAGAATTCCTGCTCAGAGCAGAGGCCAACACGGCCGATCCCGGGAGGGCAGGACCGGTGGGAGCAGAAGCCCCCGCGACGCTCACATTCCTGGTGGGATCCTCGAGCCAGGGACAGACCTGCAGAGAACCAGGAGAGGAGACCTTTAGGACAACCCTGCTGAGGTGCTGAGCACAACCCCTACTCCCTGTGTGGCCAACATTGGTCCAGACCTGCCTGTCCCTCGCCACGAACAGGTACCTGCAGCAGAAATCAAGGTGATGTTTATGACACTTGGATGGGACGGTCACTACCACCCCTCAGCAGGCTCTGGGAGAGGCTCTCCATCATGCCTGCTGCCTCCCTTCTGGAAGAAGGGAAGAATCCAAAGGTGAAGGCAAGGTCTGCCTTCCTCCCACCTCCTCCTCTTCAGCAGGGCTGCTGTGCCCAGTGCTGCTGACTCAGAGAGGCAAGGGACAGGAGGTATCGAAATGGTGGCAAAACCTCATCCCTGGAGCACAAGAGCTTTAGTACAAGGTTTCAGCTCCAGTCCCAACTGCAGAACCTGCAGTAGGAGCCTTTCCTTAAAGGTATGGGATGAGAGGGACCCCAGGGAGGATGGCACAGCCACCAGCAGAACTCACACGTGACTCATCAGCTCAGCTGGCAAATCCTCCCTACAAAATACCGACAGAGGACAAACCCTCCACTGCCTCCTCCACATTTCTTACCTGTCACTCCCAGGAGCATCAGGAGGAGCAGAGCACAGAGGGCAGGCAGGATCCTCATGGCTGGGAGTCGCCAGCAGTGTCACAGCTCTGGGGAGAAGAGAAAGGAGGCAGAGATGAATGGGAGGATCCCTGCCTGCGGGTTGTGTAGCACCTGCTCAGGGACAGAACTGAGGAGAAGGGATGTCACCAGTCACTGGCAGGAGGATGAGCTCAACAGCCCAGGGGTAGGAGCTCCCGCAGCCTCTCAGCTCCCGGCGGCAGCAGTTTGGTCCAAGCCAGCTGGTCTCTCCACGTAGCACAGTGTCCCTTGGGATGGTTGACACCTCAAAATGTCCAGCCAAAAAGTTCCTTTTCCTGTTTCTTCCCCTGCCAGAGAATAAGAAGCATAGTTTTCCTCCTCTGACACCTCTGAGAAGGATTCCCAGGCCTGCAGCCAGGGATCTTGTGTCATCCCGCCTTGCGTAAGGGCCGCTCGGTGCTGTGGTTTGCTGGACACCTCTTGGGACACACACAGCATCCCTGTTCGTTAGACCTTGGCCAGCAATCAGCTTTCACAACACAAAGGAGCTCTGTCCTCCTCCCCCCACGTGAAGCGTGCTCTCTATGCTTCACTGCAAAATAACTGGGAAGATGCCACATGAGATGACATCTCCGTCCAACTGGCAGCCCCGTGAAGGACAAGCTTTAATTGTGTCTTTGTTTTGTGGAGTTTGCTGTATGTAACCCTTTACTGGTTCTCAGTGTGTTGGTGGTGCATCTTCATATATGTTTTCGGCCTTCTTGCAGATTCATTGAGCATATGTGTGTGTATGTATGTTAAAAACCTACTCGTGCATAGTAATGGGTGGTCCCTGAGTGGTTGTATGAATCATAGAATCACAGGATAGCTTGGCTTGGAAGGGACCTTAAAGGTCATCTCATTCCAACTGCCTGCCATGGGCTGGGATACCTCCCACTAGACCAGGTTGTTCCAAGCCTTGTCTGACCTGGACATGGACACTTCCAGGGATGGGGCAGCCACAGCTTCTCTGGGCAACCTGTGCCAGTGTCTCACCACTCTTACATGTTCAAAGAGGTCTGCTGGGGCACTGGGGTGAGCAGATCTCCTGTTCTTCACACTTCTTTTCCATGAAACAATGTCCTCTCCCAGACATGCACAGAGGGAGAGGGGCTGTGCTAAAAGACTGACAGCAGCGCCATTGCCAGGAGCTGGACTCGGTGATCTTTGTGAATCCCTCCCAACTCAGGGTATTCTATGATTCTGTGATTAATTGGGATGTAGTAGAAACCTAGAGGCACAAACTGTGATTTTGTGTGACCAGCCATTCCACCAAGGGCTTGATATGTGTCTCAAATGAGTTTTAGCCACTGCACATCTGGCTGTGGCATGGACAGTCCCACTCCACCAGTTCAGTTATAATCTGCCTGGCATTATCTAATCCATCTTCAATACCATCTCTACCTCCTGGGAAGAGCTGTGAGATAAATTTGGAGCAGGTTGCCCAGAGAAGTTTTGGATTCCCCATCCCTGGAAGTGTTCAAGGCCAGGTCGGTCAAGGCTTGGAGCAACCTGGTCTAGTGGAAGGTGTCCCTGCCCATGGCAGGGACTTGAATCTAGATGATTTTGAAGTCCCTTCCAACCTAAACCATTTTATTATTCTATGATTCTATGAATTTGAACAGGTACAGAGTGCTAGGGCAGTAGAATTGGGATAAGAAGCAGAGAGGAGATGTGCAGCATGGATCCTAGGGGGTGAGGTTTCAGCATGTGTTTCACTCAAGGCTGGCTCTTGAGGCCATTCCCAAGTCATGAAGGCAAGGGCTGCTATTTGTGGTGGTGAACTGAAAGCATGATGATAAAGGATGTATTCTGCATGATGGTGGTTCCAGACACTGTCTCCAGAGCTGAATCTAAAATAACAAGGGCTGAAACCTCTCTGCAAAGTCCTCAGTCCTTGAGCAAAGCATCTTGAGCCATTCCAGTTTGTGAAAGAAACACTCACCTTCCGTGGATTGTGCAAAACTTCTTAGGACATAAACTGTAAATTGCTGGTTTGGTTCCCCTTGGCAATTTCCTCAGGTTTCCATCCAGGGGAATCCCTGGGAGGTGGCCGTTGGCCCAGTTTCCTGCCCTTCACAAGGCTGTGGTTTCAATGGTGGCAGAGTCATTTGCAGAAACATCTGCTTTGAACAGGCCCAGAGACTGTGGGAGCTGGGCCTGTTCAGTTTAGAGCAGCAAAGGCTGAGAGGGGATCTGATCAATACATATAAATATCTCAAAGGCAGGTACCAAGAGGATGATCCCAAACTCTTTTCAGTGGTGGCAAGGGACAAGATGAGCAGCAGTGGCCGTAAACTAAACACAAGAAGTTCTACCTCAACATGAGGAAGAACTTCTTTCCCTTGAGGGTGGCAGAGCACTGGAACAGGCTGTCCAGGGAGGGTGTGGAGTCTTCCTCTCTGGAGACATTCTAAACCCACATGAACGTGTTCCTGTGTCACCTGCTCCACGTGATCCTGCCTTGACAGGAGGATTGGACTGGATGATCTCCAGAGGTCTCTTCCAACCCTAAAAATTCTGTGATTCTGTGAAGGGAGAACAGATGATCTGCAACAAATGGGGAGCTCAGGGCTTCAAGTCAGTCCTTTGCATGTAGGTATTTGGGTTTGTTGTGTACCTTAAAAGCCAACCATTACTGCTCTTACCTTCATAGAATCACAGGATAGTTTGGGTTGGAAGGACCTTTAAAGATCATTTAGTTCAACCCCCTGCCGTGGGCAGGGACACCTTCTACTAGACCAGGTTGCTCAGAGCCCTGTCCAACCTGGCCTTGAACACTTCCAGGGATGGGGCAGCCACAGATTCTCTGGGCAACAAGGATCAAAGGATCACAGAATCACAGAATCAATTAAGTTGGAAAAGACCTCTGAGATCATCAAGTCCAACCTACACAAGTCCTTGTCTGCACAAGGATGTTCTCGGTGGTGCAGGAGCAGCTGGAGAGACAGGAGCTCACCAAGAAACCTGAACCTTCTGAGTTTTCTGTTATGGTCCAGAGCAGGACAGGATGAACCTCTTAGAAGAAAAGTGATCAAAGTCACAGAGGTGTTGGCCTCTTGTACACGTTGTCTAATTGTCTCAAGCAATGTCATAAGTCTAGCTCAGATCTCCTGATTTGCAACCGCAGTCGATATAAATTTTGCAGAGTTACTCCGAATTTATATCAGACAGAATAACCAAAGGTAAAATCAGGCTTCGAATTACAAATTGGGGTCACCTGCCTCCCTTTGTCCTGCTCTGTGTGTCCTTAGTTCCTATAATGAAAGAAGATACTGTTCTCAGGTCTGAAAGCTTTGGACCAGGAGGTGGGAACTGAAAGTTTTCACAGCAGAGGTTCTATGAAGCATCCACACAGGAGAAGACTTTTGTGCTCCCTATGGAAATGATGACAGATCCCAGTTTTAGTTACGGCAGAGGATCCCTAGCAGGGATGTGTGGAGAACATGCCAATATTCATTCAATCAGTAACCCAAGATGGGGAAATATTTTGGTAAACTAGGCTTTCCTAGTAAGTTTAGCCTGATTTCAGAATTCTCACTTAAAATTCTGAATGCAGATAAGACTTCTGGAAAAATGAATGACAACAAACAACCATACAAACTTCCTAAATCTTGCTTTTATTGAGAGAAGAATGACAAATCCTTGATGACTGGTACAACAATTCCCCGAATCCAACAATGCCAAAAGCAATCATCCCTGGAGATTCTCTGCAATTAGCCACACTACAACCTGCACAAAGGAAAGGGTGTTTCGGAATCATGTTGATGAGGAAAGTCTTACTCAGGGTTCAACTGAAAATTTGGGGAGCCATCTTTGCCCCATTTAAATCCTAAACTTACCATCTGCAGCAATTATACCCGAAACGACACAACCCCAGGTAAGCGTTGCCACGAGGGCATTTCCCACTGTGGCAGAAAGTCCCACGGTATCCACATTCCATGTAAGGTTTTACGGGTCTTGCAAGGCTTCTACCTTAAAAAACAAACAAACAAACAAAACCAGGAGACAGTTGTTTCTGTCAGGGTTCTGCATTTTGCTAAATTCCTGTGAGCTGAGACCGTGTCACACCTGTGCCCAAACACAGTCTTAACGTAGCCCTCAGAGGAGGTCAGTGGGCAGAACAACCAAGCATATCCTCTAATTCCTTCTTCAGATGTAAGAACTGTGTCTCCAAGCCCAGGACTCCTTTAGGAACTCACATTTTAGGGATAGACACCAGGGACCTGGTATAAAACAGTAAGTGGGCACTTAGCAGCTCTGAAAGTCTTTTAGGTCACACTTAAGGAGGGAGGCACCAGCTTGACTGGGAGGCTCACACTTGTACAAAAAAGAGGGAGAGAGATTTTTTACATGGACAAATAGTGGAAAATTTTTAAACTAAAAGAGGAGAGATTTATATTAGGGTTTAGGAATAAATTCTTCCCTGTGAGGGTGGTGAGGCCCTGGCACAGGTTCCCTAGAGAAGTTGTGGCTGCCCCTGAAAATGTCCAAGGCCGGGTTGGACAGGGCTTGGAGCAACCTGGGATAGTGGAAGGTGTCCCTACCCATGGCAGGGGATTGGGACTGGATGATCTTTAAGGTCCCTTCCAACCCAAACCATTCCATGATTCTATGGTTCTATAGATTTGGCCTATTTTCCTCCCTATAAATTTCAGCTATGTCTCAAAACAGGTCCTGGTTGTCCATATGTGGATAAATTCATCAATCCATGTAGAACAATTCCATGCTACCAAACACAGCAAACCAGGCATTGTCCTCTGGGTCTGAGGCCTGGCAGCCTGGCATTGCTCTTACCTACATGGCTAAACTATCTTCTCCATTAAAATAGCATCCCCACATTCAAACTACCTTTTGGGAATGGCCAGCAGCCAGAACAATTTTTTTTCTATGGCAATGCTAGTTGTCAGAGATCAAAAGAACCCCAGGGAGCAGATTGCTAATTAGGCAGCCTGATGCCTGGCCCTGTTTGGTTGATTAATAGAGAGGTAGCCTGGCAGCTGATATGTTCTGGATGCACCTGAATGACTGCACATGAACCAATTAATTCCAGTTTCACAGCTCATCCGTGGAACTACACTAAGTCCAGCATATTTAGAGAGAGGAGAGCTTGTTCCAGCACACAGATAGTGGATATTACACACTCACAGTGGATCCAGCACATCCCTGGTGTGTTAGATTCCCAGCATGTGAGTGAACTGGTGCATGCACACCCAGCAAGACCCAGAAAATCCCAGGCAGAAATAAAAGAGAAGGGTGAATAAAACACTTCTGGTGCCAAACTATCTTTCTGTGGGACATTGCAGAGATGATTGTGAGCAGTCTGAGCTCTCAGAAGTATTTTTTTTTCCAGAGAAATTTCTTGCCTTTTATATTCAGAAGAAAGGTCCTACTGTAAACAGGCCAAACATCCACTGTGTGTATTTGTGTGTTAAACAAGGACATAAAACAGACCAAAGAAATGCTTAGCCCTGTGTCCTGCCTGTGAGAACTGCCATAAGCAGAGGCCCAGGTAAGAATAAGATCAGACAAGCATATGGAATTATAGTGCCATGGAATAATTTAGGTTGAAAAAGTTCTCTGGGATCATCGAGTCCAACCATTCCTCCAGCACTGCCAAGCTCACCACTAACCCATGTCCCCAAGTGCCACATCTTTTAAATCCCTTCAGGGATATGTGTGACACTGGTCTTCTGGTCTTCTGCAGCCCATCACAGTCTTTTCCCATCCTTACTCCCCCAAAGGACACTTTCAGCCCTGTTCCCACAGAGATCAACCCCAAAACTTCACCGGGCACTTGTTTGTGCACAGAGTGCCCTGCAACTGCATTGGTGCCATTTTCAGAGATGGTGTTAAAACACAAACCCCTTTCCTGGATAATAGGGTGGGTTTGGGGTTCCAGACTCCTTTGCATTCCCCTAAGAGGCACAGCCTTACACCACCACTTATGATTGCACAGGCTTCTCCACTGAGGAGATGCTACCAGTAGAATTTCAGTCCTAACTCATCATCTTCTGCCTCCTCACTGCAAGAACAAACTCCTGAAACAAATAATATTTTGAGAGTATGGGACCAGATTCCTTTTATTTGCTGTGTGGCCTAAAAATATTTGATTATGATTTGATTTGGTTGTTGTAGGGTGACTCAGAAACAAGTTGATTTAAGTGTAAGTCTGCAGCCTCTAACAGGGAAAATGCTGGTGCTGAATGGCAATTTTGGGGTTTCCCCTCATGCTTTCACCTCAGACTGGACTTCCAGAGGAGTAGCAAAGGCACTGAAGTGACGGTTGGAGTGTTTGCCCACTAATTTCATGCATCATCTGTTGTCTGCCAACAAGTTCTGATGGCATGTATGAAGATTCTTTGCAGGAGGCAGCTTGGCCACATCCCAAAGGGGACGGGACACCTTTGTAAGACACCAGCACCTCCTTCTCTATAGTCCCCCATCCTCATTTACACCTTACCTGCAGCTCCATGAAATGCCACCAAGAGGAGACCAAAGAGAAAGGGAAGGATTTTCATGGCAGAGGGTGGGCTGGGAACTCGGGTCCCTACAGAGAAAGGAGGCCAAGACATCAGTGAGAAGGTGGTCCCTCCACAGTTATCATGGGGTTAGAAGTGACACACAGAAATGTTCTTCAAGACCTAGGAGTTATCTAGAAGAGCTGTTACACATTTTTGTTATGGTAATGTCTGTTGTCCTAAGGTTTCCCTGGAGCATACACAGGATCATGGCATAGGAAGAAAGTACCATGCAGAAAATACTATTTTAAACTCCCTTTTGATTAATGCATTAAGCACCCAGACATTTATTCTTGATTTCTTAATACTTTGCAATGCGTTGCAATAAATTTGATTTGCTTTATGGAAGTTAAAGCTGTTAATTTAAATAGAAAAATAAGAAATTTTTGTCATATTTATACAAAACAACCCAATGTGTGTTCTTAAGTTTTTCTAATAAAAAAAAAAAGAGCAGAAAAAGTTCCTTTACAATTAAATCAAAATCCAGTTTCTCCTTATTCTTTCTTAGTGGCTATTGCCTTTCCTTCACCTCAAGAATTATATGATTTCCAGGATAAATTTTTGAGTGTTTACATTTCCTGCAGCCAACAAAAACTCTTCTCCCTTATCAATATTAGAAGCCTCCAGAACTGACTCCTGTCAGACTGGAGTCACTGCACAGTTAAGGCTAAAACAGTGAAATGCAGCTAAAAGTGAAAGATATGAAGTTTCCAGCCAGTTTAAGAATGACAAAACTTTCTAAGAGAGGCTGAATAATGAGAAGATTTCGGTTGTTACCAGGCAGGAGGAGGCTCTAGGTTGGAACAATCCTTGGATCAGTGTCAGCCACCCCAATGCAGGAAGATGAAGGAGCAGAGCGTGGCCTTGTGCTGTTTCTGGAGGGTGGTGGAGGATGGTTGATCTCCACCGTCTTTTGTTGGCCAATCACACAGTCCCTGTGACTTTGGGGTGACACAGTGAATCCTCTTTCTTGCCATCCTCCTATGAGAAACCAAGATTTGGCTTTCAAAGTGTTGCAGCATCCACTGGGGAAATGGGTTGAGCGGCTTAAACTGCCTTGAACCACCTCCCTTTGAGCAGCCCATGGGCCACAGCAGCTCAGTCAAGGTCTCTGGGCCATATGTTGTCTTCTGGCCAGCTGAGGCTTGGTGGCATCTGCTCTCCAGCATGATAAAATAAATAAATAATAAACATACAATATATATTTATATAATATATATTTATATAATAGATGTAATATATAAATATATAATCAACAGATATATTTTACATAATATGTTATTAAGATATATGCATATATTATACATATATATCATAAACTTGATATATTTTATTTTTATTTATATATATATAAACATAATGAATAAAATAAAACCAGCCATCCAGGCTGTCCTGCTGCTGGGTGATTATTCTGCACATCTCAATTGGAAGCTGGTGCTGTGTGATGGGAACCCTCAGGGAAATGGTACGTGGTGGGAATTACCCAGCTGATGTCCACAGAGCAGGAATCTTTCAAAGGATACCTCTCATCCACTATTTTGGTTCCTGTGGCATGGAAGGAAACTATATACCTGAAGCTAATATATATATATATATATATATATATATATATATATATATATATATCTATAATATATACACACAATGTCAACCAGTATTTGAGGGATATGCAATGATTTCTAGCTCTAGGTATTAATTTTGCCTTCTGCAGTGATGTGCTTCAGGTTTTGATGAGGATAGTCATGTGCATCTGAGTGTTACTAATGAACTAGCCAGTTATTTAATTTACCACATAAATCCTGGCAGGAATTTCTCCTTAAATGCCTGCAGTAGTCTTATGGAGAAGTGCTGTCTCCATCTGTTTTCAGAGGTTTCATATTAATTCCTTAAAAACATGAACATTCTATCACCCTAAAAGGAAAATAATTATCAACTGGAATTAGGTTAAAAAAACCCACCTAAACCTATGTTAAATGGGAAGTTAATTCTTCTTTGGAAATTCAGGAAGAGTGTTAATGAGGTGTTATTAATACTACATCATTTCTACTGTTGGAAGAGAAAATTTGGGCAGTTCTATTTTGATTAAGAACGTGGAAAAGATCTGCACTAGAGATTGGTAGGGAAAAAAGTGAGAGTAAAAGAGTAATCTAATAGTTAGGAGTAAAAAAATAAAAAAAAAAAAAGTGATTCTTTTTTTTTTAAACTTTTGCACCAAACCATTTTTAGTACTAATTGCCTGCACTGTATGTAAGATATTTTAAGCCACATCTATTTATGGAAATTATTACAGCCCACGCTCAGCAATTTCAGTTTTATTATAGCCTTCACTCTCTTGCCATGGGCAGAGCAGTGCACTGAGCACAGCATCCCTAAGAGTCCTTCTCCTTTCTCAAGGACTCCCCCAATGGTTTCCTGCTTTCCAGGGATTTACAGACATTTCTATAAATTCAGGTGTCTGTTGCAATGGGATCTTCACTTTCCTTTTATACCTTTTTTCTTCTGGAATCTGACCCGTTTCATGGGAGTTGCTGCTCTCCTCTGCCAGCTGCATGAGCCCTGCTGAGCTCATCCCTGCCAGAACCTCCCTTGACTCGCCCTTCGTGCCCTGCAGGGATTTTTCTTAGATCTCTTTGTTTTCTCTCCCAGTCAAAGCAAATACTTCATAGACGTTTCTAGCACAGCCTTTTTTAACAGCTTTCAGGCTGCCTGAGGCTTCTTGTTTCTCTGGACTGCTCCTTTTGGTGCTTTTCTTTCCTCATTTTAGGGGGTTTTTTTTTGAGTTTCAGTACTCACATGTTGAATGCATTTAGTCCCACAAGGTGGTTAAACCTAATTGTACTGTCACTTTTAAAGAGCAGCTCTCACAGACAGCTTTGGAATTAGGTCCTTTGCACCTAATCCAGGAAGGCAAATGTTCTTGTGGGTGCCTGGACTAGTTGTTCTAAGAATCACCATCTTGCAGCCATAAAAACGTGATCTCAGCATCTCCTGACATCACCCACAATCACCCCTCAGAACTTCTCTGCTCAGTCACCTCAAGCAAGGGAGTGACCTGCAGAAGATGTGACCTGATCTCTGAGTTCACCAGGGAGGGACTACTCGCTGAAAACCTTCTCTAAGGTGTTGTGAAGTGTTTGCAGACAGGGTGTGTGGCAAAACACCTGGGCAGAAACTTGGCACAGCATGTGAGGGGCAGCTGGGTCTGTGTGATATCACCTGTAGGCAGCTCACCTGGAGCACTGAGTCCAGCTCTGGGGCTCACAATGTCAGAAGGATGTGGAGCTGCTGGAGCAAGTCCAGTGAAGGCCATGGAGATGCTCCATCTACTGTGGAGACAGGCTGAGAGAGCTGGGGGTGTTCACCTGGAGAAGAGAAGGCTCCAGGGAGACCTGAGAGCCCCTTCCACTGCCTGAAGGGGCTCCAGGAGGGTTGGAGAGGGACTTGGGACACGGGATGGAGTGACAGGACAAGGGGGAATGGTGTTAAGCTGCAAGAGGGAAGGTTTAGATTAGATAATAGGAAAAATTCTTCCCTGTGAGGGTGGTGAGGCCCTGGCACAGGTTGCCCAGAGAAGCCTCAGTTCGCAGGTACAAAGGACTTTCAAACCAATAGATGGAAGGAGTGATTAAGGTTTCAACAGCTTGGGCTTGGAGAGCTTGATTATTATTATTAATAATGATTTTTTTCCTTTGGTTTGGTGCTGTGCAGTAATGTCACTATGCCTGGAGAAGGTGCTACACCAAAATCAATGGAGATGGCTGATGAGCCACCTTCCACTATCCCAGCTTGCTCCAAGCCCCGTCCAAACTGGCCTTGAACACTTCCAGGGATGGGGCAGCCACAGCTTCTCTGGGCAACCTGTGCCAGGGCCTCACCACCCTCATAGACAAGAATTTCTCCTGTTATCTAATCTAAACCTTCCCTCTTGCAACTTAAGACCATTCTACCTTGTCCTGTCACTCCAGGTCCTTGTCCAAAGTCCCTCTCCAGTTCTTCTGGAGGCCCTTTAGGTACTGGAAGGGGCTCTAATGTCTCAGCAGAGCTACTCTTCTCCAGGATGTACCTTTGTTGGAGGCCTGAGAGTTTTTTTTTTTATGAGAAGAGGTTCCTGAACACCAAAGTCCAGCAGAGAAAAGCACAGCCAAACCAGTGGCTGGAAGGCAGCCAGAACAACTGGGAGCTGGCAGTGAAACTGGGGAGGGTGGATAGCTCTGGGAATATCTTCTGGAAGGCCTTCTGGCTTTCTCCTTTTCTGCTTGGCATTGTTTTGGGGCGATAACAGCACGACCCGTGTGGCATGGAAATTTATTCCCGGCTTGGAATACAGCCTTTGAGCAGGAGGAGAGGCTGAGAAAGGACAGCTGAGACACCCTGGGGTGGGTTCTTCCCAGGAATGATGATGATGGAGGGCAGGGGGATGAGATGATGAGGTTCTCACATGTCTTCTGTGAGTAACAAGAAGGATCACACCACGTTGTGCCTGCATGGACCCTTGTAGCTTCTTCACTGCTGGATCTGCAAGCAAAGATGGTTCTTCAACATCCCACCCTCAGCTCTGGAAAAGGCTTTGGTGCCCATTAGAGGCTCAGTTGTGCTTTGCATGCAAAAAAAAAAGGGTTTTCTAGGAATGGGCCATTTGGCAGCTGCGTATTTGCTATTGTGGAGGACAAGGCTCAGAGACAACCAAGGCTGAGCTTCACTTGGCTCCAGAGCCCTAATTAAACCCTTGGCTGTATTAAAATGCTTCTCTGGAGCTAGGCCCAACAGCTCAACATTATTAATTAATGAAACATGAATGTGGACATGGCAGTGGGACAGGACTGTCCCTTCCACCAGTGACAACATTAACCCACTGATCCCCAACCTCACCACTGGAGTTGAAGATGCAAAGATGCCAAGTTATGGTAAAAAGCAGTGCTGGACACAGACAGAAACCCTGGGGATGCTCCCATGAGAAGGGATAACCAGGCAAGGGCATCTCTGAGCAGTTTGGTGGCTCCTGTTAAGTATCAGACTCTGAGCTTTGTTCTCAGAGTTCCAAAAACAATCGTTAAAAATAAAAAAAATGTGTGAAAGCCCCTGAACACACACATCCAACAGCCCAGCCGATGTACAAAGCTTTGGGAGCTTCCTGCAGGATTTTGCAAAAGCAATTACAAAACCTTAGATGATATTTGTACCTAATTAAACCCCCCTTCCGTGGCTTTTCCTGTAGGGACCTGCTGGGGATTTATTTCCTGAAAAGCATCAGGGATGGAGGCTGCAGGGCTGGGAATTGTGATAAAAAGCAGATGAGCCACATCTCTGCACACACAAGGGCCCCTGGAGCCACCGACGGTTGGGATCTCGTTTCGCAAAGGTTTTGTCTTTGGGGTAGGAGGGGGGAAAACAACCGGATTAATTTACGGGTCCGTGCACACCATGTCCCGGCTGCCACCTAGTGCTCATCCCTGCGGCACAGGGGCATGGCGGGCATCGCGCAGGGGGACATCGGGGTGGGCTTGTGCCAGTTCACAAGAACCAAGGGGAAATCAGGGTGGGCTTGTGCCCGTGCACAAAAACTTGGGAGACACCGGGGTGGGCTTGTGCCAGTGCACAAAAACATGGGAGACATCGGGGTGGGTGGGGTTGTGCCCGTGCACGAGAGCCTGGGGGACATCAGGCTGGGCTTGTGCCAGTGCGCAACAACCTGGGGGACACCGGGATGGGCTTGTGCCAGTGCGCAGTGGCCCCAGGGGTCGCGGGCTGGTGAAGCCCCCGAGGTGTGACGCAAGCACCGTGACGTCACACCGCCCGGCGGGAAAGGGCACTGGGGGGGGGCCGGGTAAGGGCGGGCGGGGAGGCACCGGCCTCGGCGGCTCCTTCTTCTTTCTCCTCCGCCTTCTCCTCCTCCTTTTCCTCCTCCTCCTCCTTCTCCTCCTCCTCCTCCTCCCCCTCCCTTTCCTCCCTCTCCTCCTCCTCCGCAGGATGCGCGGGGCCATCCCCGGGCTCAGCCTGGCGCTGCTGGCGGCGGAGCGCGGGGCGAGTGAGTGAGCGCGCAGGATGCGCGCAGGATGCGCGGGGTTGTGGGGAGGCTGCGCCACCCCGAAGAGGGAGGGAAGGCGGGCGGGAAGGTGGCAGCGGCCCCTCTACCGCCATCTCCGGGGTCTCGGGTCACCCCTGGAGACCGGGGAGTGGGGAATCATCCCTGCGCTCCAGCGGAGGGGGGAGATGCGCGCTTCCGTCCCCGGGCTGGGGCGTTCAGCAGACATAGCCGGTCTCTGGGGGGGTTAATATGAAAAATTGGGGGTTTTCTTCACTTTTTAAAATGTTATTTATTTATTTATGTACTTTGGAGCTTGAGGTTTTTATCAGAGCCCTTCTTGGGGCCGGGCCCCTCGGTGGTGGTGGCTGTGCCACGGCTGACAAGCAACCGGGAGCCGGCAGCTGGAGATAAGACTGGGACAAGGGCTGCGAACCCCCTCGGTGACTGGGAGACGGAATTGTGGCGGGAATGGCTTTAAACTGAAAGAGAGTAGATTTAGATTAGATATTAGGAAGAAATTCTTCCTTGTGTGAGTGGTGAGATCCGGGTTGCCCAGAGAAGCTTTGGCTGCCCCATCCCTGGAAGTGTTCAAGGCCAGGTTGGATGAGGCTTGGAGCAACTGGGGATAGTGGAAGGTGTCCCACCCCTTGGCAGAGATTGGAACTGAATAGTATTTAAGGTCTTTCTAACCTAAACTTTTCAAGAATTCTATGATTGTGGGTGGCACCTCTCAGTTGCTGGGTTGTGTGGCTGTGGCATCCCTCAGTGGTGCTTCTCTGCCCTTCTCCAGGGCTCTGTGCCATCATCCATTACCTTGTCCATGGGCAGCTGGGCTGGTTTGGGCTGACCACAGCCTGTGTGGTGCCCGGCTATGCCGCTCAGCTCCTCAGCATCCTCTGGTTCCGGGCGGACGGACACCCACCCAGCTGCTGGCTCCTGGTGCTCCATCTCCTCCAGCTGGGCCTCTGGAAGCGGTGAGAGATGCTCCCTGTGACCCATCCAACCCCCCCAAACCCAGGTGCGGTCCCAAACTTGCCAAAACTAGGGTGGACATCCCAGCACGGTGACTCCTGCAGGTACTGGGATGTTTTGCGGATAGCAGGCGGCAGTGCCCGTGCTGGGGAGGTGCTGACACAGCTCGGGGACGTGTGTGTGCTGCAGCTCCTGGAAGCCCTGTTGCAGACCCTTCCTCACCTCCTGCTCCAGGCCTACGTTGTTGTGGCTGTTGACCCAGTGGGCTTCATCCCTGGTAAGTTGGGAGTTCCCAGGAGGATGCTTTGAATTGTATAGGAATGATGTGTTTGGGTGAGGGATGCATGTGCCCACCTGGCAGGGCACAGGGTGGGCTCTGGGTGAAGGAGAAAGCTGCAAAGGGACTGGGAAGCCTCAACGCAAAGCACCAGGGACAAATGTGGCTGCAAGATCTGCTGTGGCTGAACGCAGAGGAGTTCTGAGCCAGCCGTGGCTTCTCCTGGCCAGTACAGTCTGTACGAGCAATATCCACGCGCAGTGTCTTGGCTGGGTGTGAACCCAGCATGTTCCTGTTGGTGGTCCAGCCCTAATCACGCTGCAGTGCTGAGCATTTAGGGGTTTGGGGCTACTTTGCAGGAAAGGTGAACTTTAAGGTGTGCAAAGGGAGAATTCGGGGTGTGCAAGGTCATCTCTGGTCCGATGGCAGTGACCAGGATGGAGCTGCCCTGGGGCTGCAGAGATCTACCCATGGGAGAGAGTGGTCAGAGGATTTCCACAGGCAGATGCTGAGCACACAAAGAAGACCAGATTTAGCATAAACTAATTGAAATACTCCAGTTCCATCCCTGGAAACATTCAAGGCCAGGTTGGATGGGGCTCTGAGCAACCTGATCTAGTGGAAGCTGTCCCTGCTCATTGCAGGGGGGTTGGACTAGATGGCCTTTAAGGTCCCTTCCAACCCAAACCGTTCTGTGATTCCATGATTCCATGATTCTGTTGGCAGGACCATGGGGTGTCTGGCTTATTTTGGGGTGCCATGCTACCAACAGCTCCTTGACACTGAGATATGGCCCCACAGCGCAGCTGGGCATCCTTCAGAGCACTGACTGCCCTGTCCCTGTGCAGGTGTCAGCGCAGGGCTGTCCCTGCTCTCCCTCTCCTGGGCTTTGGCCTCCTACAGCCACTTCACCTGCCTGCTGAAGCCTGGCCACCTCAGCCTGCCAGCTGGGGCCATGCTCTGCCTGATGCTCTGGAGGACAGGGATGCTGGGGACCAGGGTCCTGGCCCTGGTGCTCTTTGCCAGGCTCTACTCCTTTTGGGTTTTTGCTGTGGCAGGTAAGACCTGAGATCCCTCTTCCCCACATCCCACCCTGAGGTCAGCCCTGCAATGCTCCTGGTGCTGGAGCTGTTTGCAGCCTTCCCCAGGAACGGCTTTGCCTGTACAGTCCCTTCTCCTTGCAGGTGTCCACTGGTTGCTCATGTCCTTCTGGCTGGTGGCCCAGCAGACAGATATTGTGGCCCAGCCGTGCCGCTGGAGGCTGTTTAATGGCCTGTTGGGGGCTGTGTACATCTTCTGCTACATCAATGTCCGACCCGGTCCCTCCAAGACCAGGGTGTCTGTATTTTATGCAGTAAGTACCCAGGGCATTCCTTACTCCACACGGATGCAGCTGCTGGAGAGAAGCTTCAGACTCTCCATTCTCATTTCTCACATCACCACTTGATGAAAATCCAGTGTGGATAAAAAACCACATGGTCTCTAAGGTGGATGCACCTTCTCTGCTGGTTTCGTTTTTTTAGAGGCAGCCATACAATGTCAGGGTTATTTTTCCTGGTAAAAAAAGGTGGACAACTTGCAGAAAGTTAAGGTCAACAACTTTTATGTTTTAACTGGTATGTTAGGTACGAAATAAAACAGAAAAAGTGTTCAAGGCCAGGTTAAATGGGGCTCCGAGCAACTTGGTCTAGTGGAAGGAGTCCCTGCTGTGGCAAGGGGTTGGAACAAGATGAGCTTTAAGGTCCTTTCCAACCCAAACCAGTCTGTGATTCTGTGAATTTATGAAAATTAGAAATTGGATGTTTTCTGTCATCAGAAGCACATCTAAAAGCATCAGAAGGGTAAATGTGACGACTCTCTTCCCTCTGCTCTGCAGATAATGCTGATGGAGAACACGCTCCTGCTGCTGTTGGCCACCCGGTTCCTGCAGGCAGAGCTGAGGAACAGCCTGGGTGTGACTGGGGCTGTCATGTCAGGGTCTGTAATAGGTAAGATCTGGGGGTTTTAGAGCCTGGATTGCACATTTGAGAGAAGTTTGAGTAAATGAGCATCGTCAGTTATTTTAGTTGCATCAGACGATTTGCTTTGTTTCTTTGAGCTTTCAGTTTAAGCCATTCCCCTTCCCGTCACTCCAGGCCCTTGTCCAAAGCCCCTCTCCAGCTTTCTTGGAGCCCCTTTAGGCACTGGAAGGGGTTCTAAAGGTCTCCCTGGAGCCTTCTCTTCTCCAGGTGAACGCCCCCAGCTCTCCCAGCCTGTCTCCAGAGCAGAGGGGCTCCAGCCCTCGGAGCATCTCCGTGCTGACCAGGCTCATGTTTTCCCTGTGGGTTGGGAGCAAAGGGAAGCTGTAATGCCCACGTGTGCTGGGCTTTGTGCATCCCCCCAGACAGGCTGCACGCAGATCAGTTGTGATCAAGAAAGGGCATGTTTGGGCTGGAAAAGGAGCAATCCCTCTGCCCTTGGATGAGTTTAGGATAGGACTAGGAAGGAATCTGATGTCTGTACCAGTAGAAGGCACCTGATGTCCAGCACCTTTTCTGCAAAGGGCTTGTTGATCTAGAGGTGGCAGTGAGGTCTGGCCTCTTCTCCACATCTCACCCAAATGCTCCTGGGACTCATCCCTTGACACCTTTCTGCTCTTTTCCAGGTGCCACAGCTCTGGTGGTTTATTACAGCCTGCTCCATCCCAAGTCCACAGAGATCTGGCAGGGATTCCTGGAGACATCCTGCAGTGCTGCAGCAGCGGGTGATGATGAGGTCTCTGGGGAGAGCTCCCAAGCTGGGCAGAGCTCAGGAATTTCGGGAGATGAAGAGTCTTTGTCAGGGGAAGGGACCACAGCAGATCCAAAAAATGGGAACAGCTCATTGCTCCTGCAGTCCAGAGGGTGTTTGGAGGACAGCTGGACAAACCATCACCACTGGCTGCTGGTAAAGCTGGCCTTGAAGACAGGAGATCTGTCCGTGATCAACGCAGCCTTCGGAGATGGTGGCGTGGGAGAGGTTTATCCTGGAGGATGGATGATGGGGAAACCCACCGGAGTTGAGTCTGGGGCAAACTTTTCTCCCCCCATGAGGGACATTGTTCCTCAGGAGGCTGAATCTGGTCTGACAGTGGGGAATGGAGGAAGCATCAAACCCAGCGCCAGCGCTGCAGGAATGGCACAGGAGGATGGAGCAGGACAGGAGCCTGTTTTTCCCCCATCCATATCCCGTCCCAGCAGCTTCTCCCCAGATTCAGCTGAGGGCTCCTCTGTGTATTTCACTGCCGTCGCAGGAGGCATCACCTTGCCTGGGACAGGGACAGGCACAGGCACAACAATGTGCATGCCCCTGGTGCAAAAGGACAGTGAAGCCCAGCCTTCTCCAGGATGCCTGAGAGAAGGAAGAGGGGCAGTAGGAAGAGGAGGAGGAGAGGATTTATCCCTTGGGATGGCAAGCATCAGCCCAATCCTGGGCACTTGTGCCCACAAGCACCTGCAGAGGAGCTTTTCCCTTGGCAACACAGGCAGCTGTGGGGTGGCAGGTCCCCCCAACGAGGGCTCAGAGGGGACAGAGGGTGCCCTCACGGGGTGGAATCACCTCTGGGACACCCACCCTTGTGGCACACAGGGGACTGTCAGGAGGAGCAAGCTGAGGTCACCATGCTTCACCTCCACCCCCAAGGCTGACCCTAAATGCCCACAGCAAGGACTGGGGGAGCTGGGAGAGGGGACAGACCTGTCTGGGTTGCCAGGGTGACCCTGTAAAGGGCTGCACTGTCACCTTGGGGTGACTGTCTCATCAATAAGGCCTGGCAGGAGGTGGTGGGGTGAAGACTGTCCCCGTGATGCCCCTGACACTGGGCGGATGTGCTCCTCCATCACCAGGACATCACCTTCCCTCATGGTGCATCTTCTACTTGCATTTTTGGAGAACTTCAAAGGTCTTAAAAAGCCCTAAAAGTCCAGGGCTAGTTATTTATTGACCTCATTTATGTCAGAGTCCTGCCAGGCTGCCAGAGTGTGCTGCCTTTGGTATATTTGTGACAATGACTTGAACTGTGTCCTTTACCAAGTGCCTGTACAAGCTGCTGGCCTGTCCCAGTCTGGAGACCTGGCTGCTGTCTCCAGGCTGCAGTCTTGGCCAAAGCAGGTGTTTTCTCAGGACAAATAAGTGCCTAAACCAGAAAAATTATGAGTTTTATGTCCTTCCTTCGGGGCAGAGTAAGCCCTCAAGTAAGGCTCAGCAGTGCTTGGTTTATCTTTCCCCCACCAGGTTCATCTTGAGACCTTTACCAACTCCATTTTTCAGGGTCACAGATCCTCTTCATGCTGTAGACCACAACCTCAGGACTCTGAATTGTAGCCAAGAGCCATGTCCTGCTGCTTGTCCACTGTCCCACTTCCTCAGGTGGCCTTTTCTGCCCAGCTTCCTCCTTGCCCTCTTCCACCCAGCTTCCAGATCATAGAATCACAGAATGCTTTGGGTTGGAAGGGACCTTAAAGCTCTTCTAGGCCCAACCTCCTGCCATGGGCAGGGACATCTTCCACTAGAACAGATTACCAGGCTATAATCCACATCTGCCTGGATGCTGCCTCCTAAATTTAGCCTCAGGCCAAATCTCAGATCTACATAGTCCTGCCACCATCAGATCCCCAGTGCAGACAGGGTTTATTTATATCAGGAACTAAAAGACTCAATACTGTGATCTCAGGAATAGCCAGTGCTTCCCAACAGGCTGGCTGGGCGTGGTTTTGTGCCCAGGACATGGGTTTGTGCCCAGGACATGGCTGGATGTGTTAATTGAGGTGTGGTCAGCTGGATTCACCAGCAAGCTCAGGGGTGCCAGCTGAGGCACATCTGGCCACATCCTCCAGCTGTTGTCCCCCTGTGGGCAGGACTCCAGTGGTGCCACAGGGCAGGAAAGGCAGCAGGAAGGACACAGGCATGCAATGAATTATTAAAAAAAGCTTCCATGATGCATTCACTGCTCAGGGCTGAGCCAGCCAGATGGTTCTCCCGGGCACTGAAAACCAAGTTGGTGCTGGTTATGGAGTGAAGCCACATTCCAATGTGATGAAGGCTCCCTGTCCCCATCCAGATCCCAGCCCTCCATGCTGTGGCTGTGCTCTGCAGGGACAAATCAGTTCCAGTGGCTTTTCCAGAGTCCTCCTCACTGTGTGCATCACGCAGAAGGCAGAAGTGCTGCTGGAGCATTACAAGAATTTTTATCTAGTTTGTTTTTCTACCTTTAATAATATATACTTATGCTCAAAAAACCCAAACCAGCCTTTGCTGTGTCTGTGTCTCATGTTGGGGGTGCACATAAGCAATGTGAAATCAGGGCAAATAATATGGATTATCTGTCCTTAAAGGCTTCCAGCCTGTGTGAGAGCCCTGTTACACCCAGGGCCCAAGTCCTGCATGCTGGGGACAGTCCCAGCACTGAGCCACAGGTCTCCACCTACAGAAATAACCTATATTTAATCACAGAATGGTTTGGGTTGGAAGGGACCTTAAAGACCGTCTAGTTCCAATCCCCTGCCACGGCCAAGGACACCTTCCACTATCTCAATTTGCTCCAAGCCCCATCTGGGGCCTTGGACACTTCCAGGGATGGAGCAGCCACAGCTTCTCTGGGCAACCTGTGCCAGGGCCTCACCACCCTCACAGGGAAGAATTTCTTTCTAATATCCAATCTAAACCTACTCGTCAGTGAATTCTAAAGCTCTGTTTGAAGTAGGAGGACTCCAGCAGCAAATCACACCTGCAGATACCCCTCCCCACCCTTCCCATCTTTTGAGGGGGGCAGAACTGAAGATACCCAAATGACCTGGTGCACATACAGATTTTTCCCCATGGTGCCAGAGGGGAGAAACGCTGGAGAGGTGTTTCTCTCAAAACCTCGTTCCTTTGCCACCAGAGGGAGATGCTGCTCAACGTCCAGACGCTGCGTGCACATCCAGTGCCTGTTGTAGGAATTGCAGAACCATCCAGGTTGGGAAAGTCCTCTAAGATCGTGGAGTCCAACCGTTCCCCCAGCACACTCAAGGCCACCACTAAAATATGTGCCCAAGTGCCACATCCACATGGCTTTTAAACCCTTCCAAAGATGGGGACTGGAGAGGAGAGGGATGTGCAGCACTGAGGCTGCTGTGGCATCGCAGGTGGGAGCTGGTGGGAATGAAATGGGGAGTTGTGGGATAGTGGAGGTGGCAGATACAGTGCACAGCAAGTGCCTGGAGGAATGAGATCGTGGCTGTGGGAGTCTTCTTCTACCTCCCCAGGCATCAGTGGGCCATGGGGAAAGTTTGGAAACCCCTGCCGGGGTCTTGCCAAGAATTCAGGGCTGGGAAGTCATCCAGATATCTGCAAATATCCCACGGCGACTTCAGATCCAAAGGTGTGTGTGCAAGGGGAGATGCCACTGACCACACTGGATGCAGGATGAGAACCCGTTGGTTTGGTAGAACCAGCTCCAGCTGTCAGCACCACGGTGCTGAGTCCTGATTTTGGTGGTGTATCCCTGGAGCTGTGCATATGTGCCTGGGGGGTGACAGGGTCACTCCCCACTCTGGTCTGTCTTCACATCAACCCACGGGGTGCAGAGATCCCCCAAATCCCATGTCACTGCTCTGTGTGGAGCAACACGGCCCTGGGCCAGTCCAAACCCAGGATGAGAAAGTGCAGCTGGCAGAGGGGCAGAGGGGAACCAGCTGATGAAATCTCAAAGTGCCCCAAATGCTTGAGGAGACCCAGCCAGACCCTCTGCTCCTTCTGCAGCATTTCCCATGAAGCTCTTTTTGCATGAGGCATGTTATGCTGAGCTAGACTGGGATCTGCCCAGCCTTTTGGGATGCACACCACCAACTTTTGGGCTTCAGCCACTCACAGAAGGGCTGGAGCGAGGGGATATTTCCATCCCACTGCACTCAGAATATCCAGTGCTTTTCCCTTCTCTGGAATAGAAAATTTCAGCTCATTTGCCTCCTATAACTTTTTTTTTCTTTTTTTTTTTTAAGAAACCCTCTCCAGCACTTTAGAGGTGGAGGGTCATGCCCCAGCCCAGGAGAGCTCAGTGCCACTCGTGAGAGGAGGTCTCAAGGGCAACACAGGAGCAGGGAGCAGGAACCAAGAGTGAATTTTGACAATGAAGGGAGTGACCTGCAGGTTCCCCAGGAGAACTGGCCATGCCACTCACCAGCGGTCTGGAAAAAGGCAGGAACAGAGGCTACGTCCCTCAGAAATTACACAATACCCAGGTGAGTCTGGGCTTGGGACGTGGCTGCTGGCACCATCCCCTTGGCTTGTTTTTAACAGGTCACCCTTGTCCCTCTGTCAAGGTGAAATGAAACAAAGCAGGATGGAAAGGTACAGACAGGGCACGAGGTTGGCAGCAGCCCTGTCCCAGCCCTGCTGGGATCTCACCTTCCAGCAGCACTGTTTTCCACCTCCCTCTTCGCCTGGATTTCTGAGCACAGGTTTTGGGGTGGGAGAAAAAAAACATTCCCTCCAGCTCCAAGATGATGTAACCCCGCCCCTGAACTAGCTCAGGAAAGATTTACCCAGAAAAACCATCTTTTCACTTCCAACAACATTGAAACACAATACTTGGACATTACAGACAATAGAATTCTTTGCCCTGGGGGTTGTTGTTATTTGTTTTTTTTCCAAGCTGAAACTTTGGATATTTTTCCCCCCCTTAATTAAATTTGGTTTGCTGCAAACCCCTTTTTGGTGCCTTTAGTGTTCCTGTAAAGGAACAGGGCCCAGGCTGCAGCTTTGTGCCTGTGGCTCCAAGGCTAAACAATACCACAGAGGGGGGGAGTGGAGGGTAAACCCAGCTAATCAGGACTTGCCTAATAGGACTGAGTGCCTAATGAGGAGCCAGGGACTGTGCTTTTCGGGCTGGATTTGGCTGGAGGAAAATGCTTTGTGGTCTCAACACCAGGTTTGAGACGCCTCAGTTCCCTCCAACGCGCTGCAGGAGCGATTTCTCCCTCCTGTGAATCCATCGTCAGTGGCCACAGGGAGGATCTGTGAGGGATCCATGGGGATCCAGGGGTGTTGGAGGAGGTGAACAAGATCCTGGAAGCAAAAGGATACAGTGACTGTTTTGCTTGAAGGGAGATCCTTAAAATCAAAGCCCTGTTTGTGCCCTGATTTTCCTAAGCAAAGTCACTGAAGGGCCCTGCCTGCTCCCCTAACGTCCTTGGGGCTCCATGAGGAGCTCAGGGGGGATTTTAGAGATTGGCTTCAATAAATAGCAGTGAATATTCCACTGCTCTGCCCTGGAGACCCATCTGGATTGTCTCCATCTGTGCTGCTACACCCCAGCCCCAGCCAGGGTGTGGGTTTGGGAAGGGCGTGGGGTAGGGAAGGCACCCCATGCCTCAGGCCTCTCCTTGGTTAATAGGGAGGGAGATTTGGGGTTCAGTGCTGAGGCTGTGGGGTGCAGAGCTGGTGGGTAAATGGGGGGGTGGGTGCTGGGACACAGGTTGGTGGCTGGGTGTGCACAGAGAGGGGGGTGCAGCTGTGGGAGGGTGTCTGGACATAAACAGCAGGTGGGTTCAGGTGTGGGTGCACATCCAGACATGCACAGTAGGTGGGTTCAGGTGTGGGTGGGTGCCCAGATGTGCATGGTAGATGGGTGCAGATGAGGCTGTGTGAGGTAGGAGGTGGGTGCTGAGGCCAGTTCGTGTTTCCGTCCCCTGTTGAGAGCCAGGGCATGCATAGGGCAGCTGGGGGCCGGGGCTGGGGCCTGTGCCGGTGCTGTGCCAGTGCCAGTGCTAGTGTCGAGTCCGGGTCCGGGTCTGGATCCAGGCTCTCGCTCCAGTGCCGGGTCCGGGCCCGAGTCTATGCCCGTGTTCGGGTCCGGAGCAGGGGCTGGGTCCGCATTCGGGTCCGTGCCCAGGTGCGGTGCCGGGTCCATGCCCGTGTCCGGGATTGGGGCTGGGTCCAGGGTGGGGTCCGGGTCCTTGTCCGAATCCAGTGCCGGGGCTAGGGCAGTGTCTGTGTCTGTGTCTGGCTCCGGGTCTGGGTCCGTGGCTTGGTCCGAGTCCGGCGCTGTGTCGGTGCCGTGCCGGAGGCTGTACCGGGTCCGTACCCGGCTGCGGGTCCGGGGCGGGGTCGGTGCCGGGTCCCGGTCTGTGGCAGATCCGTGCCGGGTCCGGGTCCGTGCC